ATAGGATAGGAACATTACAAACTTTACACAGTTATGGATAGATTAGTAGGAAAATATCAATGACTGCTGTAATACGTGGTGGTATCGTCAAAGTGGTTTCTCAGGAAGACAGAGATATGCAAGAAGGATCTAATAAGTAGTTACAGCCTAAGGGTTGTCAAAAATAGCATATTACCTCCTCACCAGTGAATGGGCACTTTTGAATCGCTAATGCTTTACATTACTTTTTTCCTTCACTTAAGAAAAAAAACAACACAACAATACAAGAGCCAGAAGTCATATGAATCAAAGGGTGATTTTTGGTCTATCACTGTGTACATGTAGTTACTGGATTTCTAAAAATGTTTTAAAATTTTTAGTTCCCTGCCCTCCCACTAGGTTATACTATCCTTTTTAAAAGATAAATTTATTTACTGGGTTCTTATTCTCTCACATTAACATCCTTATAATTACTAATTCCCCCAGAAGTCTTAATTTTCTTTTTAAAGAGAAAAAAAATAACAAAACAACAATAAAGACAAAAACAAAACAATAAAAATGATACAGAATTTCAAAACAAGATGATAGGAAATTAACAATGGTTGTTATATATTGCTATCTTCAACAAAGTTGCTCAGATTACCAGAACTAAGAATGCAAGATTGATCAAACAATTAAAGAGGATAAAAATAAAAAAAATTAGAAATGATACAGAGCTTCACTAAACAAGATGGTAAGAATTCAACAGTGGTTGTTATATTGCCTATTACTGTCTTCAAATTTATTCAGAATACCAGATGCAAAATTTGTTAAAAAAAAAAATTAAGCATTAACTGTTCCTTTCAATAAACCAATAGACTTCAGCAGTACAATTATCCCAGCTATCCTTGTATATACTGGAAATCTTAGTTTAAGAAGTACCAGTTTTATTTTTTAGCTTTTTGAGATAGTAAAGGACTTTTAAAAGTATGTTGTTTTGAAATGCATTTATGTATATATGAAATGTAATTAAGTATATACATTTATCAACTATGAGAAAGGTAATACCACTTTAATTTTAGAAAACAAGGTAATTTCCCATTAGGAAAGAATTTTTCCCTATTTCAAATAAACTATAACTTTCTATTAACCAGATCATTTACTTAAATTCTAGACAACACTAGTCAATGTAAATTTCCTCGTAGGTAGAAATTTACAATCTATACACCTTTATAAGGTTTCCTAAAAGCTGGCCAATTAAAGAACTGGAATTTATAGTTAAATATCTACACTTGTTATTAATAATAATCTGAAAATTTTAAAGACTTCTCCCCAAAATGCACCATTTATATCCCAGCACTTAATATTTTATACATATACACTTGCTCCTAAAACATGTGGAATGAATTCTATCCGGGTGGTACTGGATAGAAGCTGTGATTAACTACTGTGAATGCAAAACAACCTTGCAAAGAAATCTGAAATTGGACTCAGCTAACTACATGTGGACAAATACTACTAATATCAACACGCAAAACATGGTATTCAGAACCTGGAACTTTAACAGATTCCTATTTTTCAAAGTTGCTTTCAAGAAATGGAAAATGTCAGCCAGAAATCACAGCTGCATGTAATATGCTGTAAAATCTTTTTGTGATAGTCTTCAGAGAGTAAAGTAATATTGCAAAGTCATGGAAAGAATATATAGAAGGTGATATCACCGAAGAGTTTTAGTTGCTTGTCTATATATTTCCGTAGTGTTACCTCTCAAGTCATTGTGTGATATTTATGAGCATTCTGCACTTGCAAACCCAGCAGCATCTTCATATTTAAAAAATAATTTGAAGAAAGTTATTTACTTAAATATGTAACTTTCACTACGACAACAAATTAAACTTGCCTACTTAAAACATGTTTGCTTTTACTTGCTTTCTTTTTTTAAATTTTAAGCCGAGGGGGGGCAGAATTCAAATCCTAAAAGCCATTTTTTTTTTTTTTTTTGGTTTTTTGGTTTTTCTCCGGTACCAGGAACCGAACTCACAAACTTGCGCTTGCCAGGCAGGTGCTTTGCCGCTGAGCTAAATCCCCAGCCCCTCCTAAAAGCCATTTTTATTTGGTAAGAAATAGATACTTAAAATTTACCCTATGACGGACCATATATTAAATTTAGGGAAACCCCATCAGGGAGTACTTATTAAATATAAAGCAAATATCTACCCAATGTTCTTAAAAAAAAAATGTAAAATGTCTAAACATAGCTACATGAAGTCAAGGTTTCTGGGTGATATTGTATATTTTGTTTATCTAGACTTACTTTAGGCAGCATTTTATATCTCTGCTTCTCTGGGAGAAATAATTCTTTTGCCCAAATGGATTTAGGATGAATATACTGCATATTGCTTGTTTTTTGTGAATGGAAGTGTTCATTTTGAAATTACACAGGCATACACAATGGGAAGGATTTGCTTGAGTAAACAAGATATGCAGGCACAGTCTTTATCTTATACTGAAACAGAAACTATGAAAAGAAAGCACACAGGTGGCCTCCAGCACATGCTATTATCCGTTTTGCTGTTGTTCTGGTGCAACCGCCTGCTGGGTCTGAGTGTGAGGTCCCATGCTTATGGGCATGAGGTCCTCCGAGGAAGAGGAAATTCCACTATCACACACCTTGAGAACAGGCTGATCTTCCTGCAGGATATTACAACTGAAGAGGCTGGTTTTAGACTGAAGGAAGAAATTCTTTTGTCATTCTCCACAGTGGTCCAGTTAGGGAAGAAAAGATGGCTCTTGCATAAGGGACATTTCTTTGTATAGCTAAGCCTAAAGATAATGCTATTAGAGATCCTGTAATAATGGACGCAGGCCTGCTATCTTCTACCTCTGTGGTACTCAATAAAAAGACAGAAAAATCTTGCTGGAAATCATAATTTAATCTAGGTGTGCCCAAGATGAAGTGAAAACACAAAGACCAGCAGGAGCCTAAGAAGTGCTGCTTCAGGAAATGAAAAAGACCAACTACAAGCGAGTGAAAATGCATCTGTTTAGAATTAGAAAAGGGGACGGTAGCCTGTTTATAGAAGGAACTTCCTGAAAGAATATTGAAAGCAACAAGATACAAGTCTGAACATTTTATCTTGAAGTAGGAAAAGGCCTCTGGCTATTGTAATTTAGTCAAAATATGTCCAAAGCTACTCAACCTTAGATCACATTGGGTATAATATTTAAATATTTTACCATCATATATAGAAACCTCATCATCCGTATCATCTTTCTTTGCTTTTGATAAGACCCACCTGCAAGTAAAGTTGAAAATACACATTTATCAATAAAAATAAGACTAGCAATTTATACATATAAAGCATACAAGGAAAACGATGCATACCCAACCTAGTTACATTTCATTAGAAAATAAATTAATATTTAGGAGTTCAATAAGGATGTCTAAGTAACTCTATAAAGTTAAACCCAATTTGGAACCTTCTACTTGCAAGCTCCATGATCACGAGTAATGCACACTAAACCTCAGTTTTTCACCTTTAAGTGTTAATTTTATATAGTACTTATCCACCTACTCAGGAATGTCCGGCACATAACCATAAATAAATATTAACTTTTATTGTTCTGCCATTATTTAGGTTGGAAAAGTAACTCAAATTTTTCATCTGGGCTTACACTGTTAATTATCTGTCCTAGAGAATAAAAACTGTTACACTTGTTCTCTTTACATTCAGAAATGAATATTCAAATTAAATATTTCTACCAATAACAAAAATACATGATATTGGTTTACACTAAAATAAAGTCCTTAAAAGTTTTTATACATCTGAAGTAGAACTAATTGTCATAAGTCAATAACCAATAACTTCAAAAAAGCTAATCAAACCAAGGAAAAGATTCTCTTCAATGAATACTCACCCAGCCAACTTCCCACTATCAAAGGTTTCTGTGAAATATACTTCTCCTTTGGGTTTAGGTGTCTTATACTTAATCTAGAAAATAAAGTTTCAAAAATCTAAAGTTACCTATCTTTGCAAATATTTTAATTAAATCATCTTGCTAGTTAAGAGCTCAGTTCATGACACACATATAGATAATATAGCTATGACATGATGCAGGATCTGATCTCAAAACTTTGCATTCTAGGGAGCCGGTGTGACTGAGGCAGGAGGATCATTGTGAGTTCAAGGCCAGCCTGGGCTACAAAGTGAGTTTAAGACCAGCCTGACCTGCATAGCAAGACCCTATCTCAAAAAGACAAAAAACAAAAACAAAAAACACATGACTTTGTATCCTAGTAATGGTAAGATACACACGAACATAATAAATACCATGATGACAAAAGTACTGTACAGTATGTCCAAACAGAGGACACACTGACCTCTCCTAACCTCAAGGGGGTGGGAAGAATTAGAGAACATTTGATAACACATTTGATGTGCCTTTGAGTTCTAACAAAGCACAATTATTCGGGGAATGAAATCATGAGAAGCAAAGAAGCATAATGAAAATCATATAAAATGAAAAGCCTGGTAAACATATAGGCTAATTTAAAATTAACTCATATTTCACTGTAAGGTGACTTAAAGACAATATCATTTTTAGATTAGGATCACAGAGAAGAATAGTAGCACCGCAAAGCAAATCTCAGCGCAGCACTGCTGCAAGTGTCATGTCAGCATTGGCTGGAGGGACAATGACACGCTAGTAGCAGAGGGGCTGGAGTATGGTGGCTGCTCTGACCCTCATAATACTTCCGGGAGGGAAGTACCATTATGGTGCCCATTTTACATACGAAAGCAGTAAAGTCCACACTGGAGCACTGCAGTACTCTGTATGAGCTCGGATTGTCTGGCTCCATACCCTTAGCCATAATACAGTATCCGGAACTTCCCAACTGAGTAACTTGAAAGATTAATTTACTGACAAATCATCAAAAGATAACCTGAACTGTTGATGAATGAACATTTTGCGTTAAGTAACAAGTCAATCTGATCCTTCTTGAATTAGTCTTTTGTGATTTTTTATCTGTAAGATTAGTTTAAGATTTCTTCTCAGGCTTTAGGGGAAAGGATGCAGAAGTCTTTTTTTCTATTTTCATCAACCCTCCCCTGACTGGTCAGCACATTTCCCATCTGTTTAAGAGAAGAAACACATGGGCTGGGGATTTAGCTCAGCGGCAAAAGCGCCTGCCTGGCAAGTGCAAGGTCGTGAGTTCGGTTCCCGGTACCAGAGAAAAACCAAAAAACCAAAAAAAAAAATAAAAATAAGAGAAGAAAAACAGTCTTTAAACAAAACTGCATGTAATTACTGAAAGGGTCGAAATTCAGAAACCAAAATTGCCAGTCTTCTCTGAAGTTTCCTCACTCACAACTTCACTGTTCTCTATATTTGTAGTTTGGCAAAATCGGCAATGGTGTCACAAGAGGTTTCCTTCTGTTACACTACCCTTAAAGGCACCAACAGTTTGTTTTGCCCTTTAGCTATAGTTTGCTATCTCTTGATTACCCTGGTTATTAAACTGGAAACATTAAAGATTGTTCTTTTCCACTTCTTAGTGTCTTCTCAAATTATCATTAAATATAATAAGGAATGGTAAGCGTCTATCAACTTCTTCAGAGTATGAATGAGCTTCCAAAGACCCCTGCAGTAGCTGTAGCTAAGTCAGTTCTTAGAACTTTGAACACTTACTTTGTAGATCATAGAGCCAGGTTTTACAACAAATGGTCTTTTAGAATATGCACTTAAAAACTAAATAACACATAGAACATTTGCAAAAGAAGTCAATAAAAGTAGATCATGATTCCCCTTGGTCCTTTAAGAGGGGCTGGCACAATATAATAATGAATACTTTTTCACTATTGAAAACATTTCTGCTAGACACAACATTAGGTCCAAATGTCCCTCAGTGTGAAAGCTCTTACGGACTGTCAAGGTGTACCTACATCTGCTTAAAGTTCCCTGAAACATGCATCTAAACAATGCCGGACCAGAAAGTTGGATCAACCTTACTATACACCTGTTCATCATCATTTCCTTTTCTAATTCACCCTTCTTGTTAGCATCATCTCTCTTCAGAGGGAGCCATTTACTTTATTTCTTAAAGAACGACAAAGTATATTACCTTTTATTTTATCTGAAAAGGTCTTGCAGTTTCAGAAATAAAACTAAAAACTTTACTCTTTGCTAAAGTACTTAGCTCTTTTCAACCAATAATAAGCATCTATTTAGACTGTAAAATCCTTACACATATTTTTAAAAATAAAACTACAAGGTGCCATATACATATTTTCTTTCATATGTGGGCACTCTCAAAAAATACAGCAACAAGATAGGAAAACACAGTGTTCTACCTACTGGAAAATGAAGACTATTACAAATGGAATTCATCTTAAGAGATCCATGCTTGCTATATATCTCATAAGGGAATAATTTATAATTCATGTCTCAATCACCTTACCTCTGAAGAACTTTCAGCTTCAACATCAATCCCATCTGAATTTTTATCAGAGTCTTCTACCTCAGCACCATCATTCATAAATTTTGTATTGCTCGAGATGAATAAAAGACCCAAACATAGTCCAAAGCTTGGGAAATACATACTGACTATCTGTGAAATGAAAATTAGTGAAAATAAAGTTGTAAAAGATACATGTTAAGTATTGTAGAAAGAAATCACATATTGTATACCTCCTTTATCCTGAAGTGTTTTAAAATGAATTAACAAAATTATTTAAACTGTGCCTTGAACAAATCAAATGCAAACTTCAAATCTTTTAGCAAACAAATTCTGCACCTATGAACGTTCAAAAAGCAAAGAGCCAATGGCATAAAATATACAGTGATTGTCAAATTTAAGTAATATGTAGGCCCCTTTAAAAGAAAAGGCTAGGCATGATGGCATAGGCTTGTTATCCCAGCACTTTCGGAAGCAGGAGTGAGGCAAGAGATTAGGGCATGGCAAATGGGCAGGGCAATCAGATGTGACCTATTGTCTTGGTTACTTTTTTCTCGTTGCTGAGACAAAATACCCAACGCCCAAAATGAAGGAAGGAAAGGTTTATTTAGCTCACAGTTTGTGGAGGTTTCAGTCCATACTTGGCTGGCTCCGAGGCAGAAGATAGCAAAGCAACAAGAGCAAAGAGGAATGGCAGCCGAACAGCAAACAGCCAGAGCAAAACTGGAGGAATGGCAGCAAGCAGCTTTTTTCTTGCCTTACATTGTAAACAGGCTACCCCCACCTAAAGGGCGTGTAGCTCTCACATAATCTCCATGCCCTCCTCTTCCACAGGCTCAGCGTGTATACAAAGTAAGCACCCTGGCTTCCTGCTGAGTCACTTAGCCAAACCTCTAGACTCCCCAAGTTGACACAATGTATCAGCCATAACACCTATCAACCATAGAGAGCTGTCAAACCGCAGATAATCCTGGCTGCACATCCAGGAGTCACCTGTCAATCATGAAGAGCGACAAAGCACTGCACAGGTCAGGAGCCCTGCATGGGACCGCCCAGATCTAACTTCAAGATATAAAACACAGCAGCCACTGACTTCCTAACCACTGCCCTCTTGTTCCTGCACTGACCCCACCTATGTTTCTTCTTTCTTGTCTTCCTTCTTTTCATCTGCTTCTCTTCCATAAATTCTAAACTGTTACATTCATCGGTTGTCTCTGTCTAATTCTTTGAATGGAACATGGGCCTGGAACCATTGGACACCACACATTCCGACAACAGGGGGACTACAAGTGTTAAGACCCACCTGGGCAACTTAGCAAGACTTTCTCTCAAAATAAAACATAAATTAGAAGCACTTGGGATGTAGCTCAGCGCAAGGTTTTGGGTTCAGTCCCCAGTACCGCAAAGTAAAAAAATAAATAAAACATAAAAAATGATTCCTAAATGTTCACTTAAATTGTTTTTATTAAAATGTTGTTTAAGTGTATATGTACTATTGGAACTTTACAAAATCAAACTACATTTACAGGTAAACACCAAAACACTAAAGAAAAAGGATTTTTAATCACACATTTGAAGTGAAAGTGTTTTGCCAAAATTAAAGCGGAGCTGAAAGATCAAGCAAACATGGGCTTACTGCCACCAAGCCGCCTACCGCCCGCGATGGAAAAGTTGTTTTCCATTCACGGCTCTCTCCCTCCCCGCGCCTCCATCCATCCCCCCAGAGTTTTGTTACCACTGGCTTTTAAATCCCAAGCAAATGCCTCCTCTTCTGGCTTGGGCAGATGCTCTAAATAAAAGCAGCTAAAGTATCTGATTGATAGTAAACAGGCCATAGGAGGTAATGAGTTTCTAGTAATTAGCACCTTCCGCTGTCTCCCCAGGGGCGCACCGGAGCTCCGCGCAGTGTCCAGGGAGTGGCCCGGCGTCGCTGGCCACTGTCGCGGTGAGGGTGGTGTCCCCTGGGCTTCGCAGAGGTGGGGTTTGCGAGCCCAGCCGAGCCCGCGGCGTCCGAGCGCTCGCCCCGCCCTCCACGCCCCCCGCGCCCGGCCGAGCACGAAGCTGGGAAGCAACAGCGCTGGGATAACGGCCCCGGCCCCGCGGAAGCCCGGGCTGAGCCGGGCTGGACACCGACGTCCCCACGCAGCAGGTGCACACGGCCCACGGCCCATGAGGCCGGCAGAGCCGCCCCAAAGCCTGGCCCACGGCACCCCATTTCCGAACTCCACACCCCTCCCTCCTCGCCCAGACCTGTGCAGCCTTTGCAGTCGTAGGAGAGAGGGGTACGGCCCAGGAACGCCCACCTTGGGAGAAGCGGCAAGGACCCCAGCCCGAGGGCAAAGGGAAGCAGGAAGGTGGCCGGGTGCTCACACACCTGTCCTGCCGGCTGGTTTTCGGGACTGGTAGCTCAGGTGTCCGACTCAGCCACTTGTTCCCTGGGTTTCCCCAGGCCAATAGCGCTCAGGCTGCGGAGGAGTGACTGTTAATCGCGCATGCGCACGCGGCAACGAGCGAGGTGCAGCGGACAGCAGAAGGCTGGTGAGGCGCGCGCCTGCAGAGCCCGCTCAACGGCCTCCGAGCGCGCGCGGGCCCCGCCAGGCCACGCCCACCCCTCCAGGCCACGCCCACTCCGCCCCGCCCCGCCCCGCGCGATCGTGCTTGGGCCAGCCCATCTAGCGTGGGTTCGGTGGGGCAGGACTTTTCCCTTTGGAAGGCTTGGTGCGCTGAGCGCCTACCCTCCCTTAAGACTCTACGGTTCTTCCTACTGCTGCAAACCGGGTTCTGAATTTTGAATCTTACTTTTGAAAGGTATCCACTGCTTTGAGTTTCTTGTAGAGTTCTGTATTTTAGAAGGTGAGCCGTCCTGGTAGTCAGCGGAGAAGCTTCCTATTTCATGTGTTTGCGGGGTTACCATAATAAATGTATTTGAAAATATTTTCTTTTCCAACAATGTTACAATAATTTATGCAGACACATCTCATCGTGCTTCTTATTGTGATGTTTTCAACCCTCGTTGGTACCTGGAGTCATAGAAATGCTTCTGTTTCTACCTGTAATTATAAATATTCTGTGGGAACAGAGTGTGAGATTATGTAAAACTATCCCTTCTTCATCAAAATTTACTCTTTCTGTATCCTGGATTCAGGAACCATCAGTCATTTTTTCCTGAATCTTTTTTCAGCGTTCTGTTAAAAAAAGAAAAAAGAACTTTTACTTATCCATCATCTATATGATTTATTTTATTCAGAAAGTTTTTTTTTTCCATTGGTAAGGATTGAATCCCATGCCTTCGCATGGAGCTACATCACTCACATCCCCTTTCTTATTTCTTATTTTGAGAAAGAATTTTGCTAGGTCCCTATATTGCCAGACTGCCTCTCCTCAAATCTCTTGCCTGTCAGAGTTCTGGGATCACTGGTGTGGGCCACCGTGTCTGCCTTGTTGGCTGAGTTTTAATTTGTTACTGTTTTTAGTTACCACAGTGCCAGGCTGTCCCAAATTTGATCAGTGGAAGTCTCTTCAATCTAGTTCCTGTGTCTTTTTGACCTGATTCCACTATTTTTTTACATTTATTGAAATATGCTTAACGTGCAATTTGATGACTTTTGACAGTCAACCACCTGCAAAAGTTTCCTTGTCTCCTAAACAAACATGGATTTGTTTTATGTCACTATTTGATTAGATTACATTTTGCTTCAATTTACATAAGTGGAATTTATAGCATGTGCTTTGATTTGGGGCTGGCTTGTTTCAATCGACATAATTATTTTGAGATCCGTCCATTTGTTTGTGTGTGCTGGTCATTTGCTTTCTATTGCTGTCTTAGTAACTTTCTCATTGCTGGGACAAAACACCCAACACCCACAAGTTAAAGAAAGAGAAGTTTTTTTTGGCTCCCAGTTTGTAGAGGGTTCAGTCCATAGTTAGCTGGCTCCAAGGCAGGGCGGCATGGCAGAGGGGCATGGCAGAGGAGAAATAGTCCAGGGCAGGTTAGGCAGAGAACAGCAAGCAGTAGACTCCTTTTTACTTTTATACTATCCAGGCTACAGCCCTATTAGTTGGTGCCACCCACACCCATTATCCATACCCAGAATTATGCTAAACCAATCAGTGGGCTAATTTAGTTATCACACCCTTAATCCCTGTTCACAACCTTAGATCCAGCCATGTTTTAGTTACTTGTCTCGTTGCTGAGACAAAATAACCAACAGCCAAATTGAAGGGAGGAAAGGTTTATTTAGCTCACAGTTTGTAACTGTGTCAGTCCATAATTGGCTGGCTCGAAGGGAGGGTGGCTTGGCAGAGGGGCATCCCAGAGGGGAAACAGTTCATGGTGGCAGAACACAGCTAAAGCAACAAGAACAAAAAAGGGAAACAAGCCTCTTTCTGCCCCCTTTATCTCATCCAGACTGCTGGGATTAGGGCAGTACCAATCCAGTCAGTGGAGTGATCCAGCAATCAGACACCCTTAATCCTGGCATTAGTCCATGAATCAATCACAAACTCTAGATTCAGCCTCCTTCAAAAAGCCCACCCCATGATGGCATGAGGCTTTGGGGCGACATCTAGACATAAACCATAATAAGCCGTCTCTGAAAAGCCTGGCTTAGGAGTACATGAGGCTCTGAAGGGACATCTAGGAATTAGCCCTAACATTTGCTGAGTAGTATGTCTGTATCCAGATGCAAACTACCTCTTCATAGACATGTTGCTTGTGTCCAGTGTTTGGCTACTTCAGGTAAAACTGTTATAAGTCTCTGTGAACATGTCTTTGGGTGGACCCATGCTTTCATTTCTGTTGAATAACTGGGAGTGAAATGGACAGGGGGTGGGGAGATCTGGTTAACTGTTTGATTAAGAATATCTTTTCCAAAATGGGTGTACTATTTTACATTCCTAACAGCAATGTGTGAGAGGTCCAGTTGCTCCACATTTTCCTCAGGGCTTAGTATGGTCAGTCTTTGTTTTCAGTCTTTCAGTTGCCCAATCAGTGGTATCTCAATGTGAGGTAAAACACTATGACCCATGGTTTTGTTATGTATTTGCAAACTCCCTCTGTAGGTGTTGTATCACTTTGTAGTCCCACAGTAAATGAGAGTGTTTATTCCTACAGGTTTTTTTGTTTTGTTTTGGTTTGGTTTTTTCTGGTACTGGGGATCAAACTCACAACCTTGCACTTGTGGGGCAGGCGCTGTGCTGCTGAGCTAAATCCCCAGCCCCTTCCCACAGGCTTATACCCATTCATTGCAAGTTTAATATTTTTGTAGGAAATAGATGTTGAATATTTTCAAAGGAGTTTTTAGCCTCTGTGGAAGTAGTCAGATGATTTCCCTCTTAGATCTATTAGTTTTGCATGCTACAATCACAGATTTTCAAATAGAATCCTGAAGTTTCTTGTACTCTTATTATTATTTTTTTTTTTTTTTGGTTTTTCTCCGGTACTGGGAACCAAACTCACGACCTTCCGCATGCCAGGCAGGCGCTTTTGCCGCTGAGCTAAATCCCCAGCCCCGTTTCTTGTACTCTTAATACAAATACCAAGCCATGGTGTGCGGTTTTGTTAATGTGGCTTAGGAATCTATATTCCCTAAGTGCAATCTAATATTGCATTTCAGATTGTTGCACTATCATCTGTAGTGATACTGGTCTATTGATTTCTTTTTTGTATGCTATTATTGTTAGAATTCAAATCTGTTATGTTTACATCATTAAAAGAATTCGGAAATTTCCTTTATTTTCTATACTGAGGCCATTTAAAAATATTGAAGACATTTGATTTTTAAAAGTTTAGTTGAATTCCCCTGAACAAGCCTCTGGGACTGGTGCCTCTTTATGCTTTCTTGTCATTACTTTCATAGTTTTCTCAATTTCATCTTTGAAAATTAGTTGGTTTCAGCATTCTGTCTCTATAGGCATTAATTTTAGTAAATATATTTCTTAAGAAATTATATTTTTATCTGAGCTTATCAAAAAAGCAAACATTGGCAAAAGTTCATCAGCTCATATGAACTTTTTCATAATTCACTGTCTAAGAGTGGCTGCTAAAATGAGCACAATGGCTAAAAATGGATGCCAGGGAATCACTGAACACACATGGATGGAAAGAAACATAAAACATTTCCATGGGAAATACCTGCCCAGATTTACCTGCCACTATTGTTCAGAACTCTCACAATTCTCCCGGAAGGTAGAAGGCCCATGCAAAATAACACAACGAAAAACAAGACATTTTTAACGCCCGTAATAGCAGAGGACATCTTTTTCTCCTTTATCCAAGAGTGCAATGACTTTTATTATTACTGTGAGCAATGTCATTACTACATTACTAGTTGCATCATATAAATAAGCTGCTATGGTTTCAATCTGGAATGTCTCCCAGGGCTCATGTGCTGGATCTTGGTACCCAGCTCAGCAGTGCTGGGAAGTGGTGGAAATGGGAAGAGATGGGGTCTAGTTTGAAGTCTTCAGATCACTGGGCTGTACTCTTGAAGGGGACACTGGGACCTCAGGCCCTTTCTTTTCATTTGCTTCCTGGCTACGAGCTGATCAGCTTTGCTCTACCATATGCTCCTGCCACAAGGTGCTGTCCTGCCATAGAACCCACCCCAAACAAACAATCAAGTCAACCAATCATGGATGGGAACCGTCAAAACTGTGAGGCAAAATAAACCTTTTCTTATAAGTTGATTGTGTCAGGTTTTAGTACAGTCATGGAAATCTGATTAACACATATTCAATAATACAAAGTGCTGATGATGGTGGCTGTATCATGTCAATACTTGAAAGAAAGTTTGGCAACAGAAAATTTCATTTTGTCTCCAAAGTCTGCAGAGCCTCTATTCACTTTTTTTTTGTCTTTTTAAGACACGGTCTTGCCATGCAGTTCAGGCTGAACTTGAACTCACTTTGTAGCCCAGGCTGGTTCAAAACCCTCAACGATCCTCCTGCCTCAGCCTGCTGAGTGCTGGGATTACAGGCACATTACACTACGCCAGGCTGTATTCACTTTACTCATAAAAAAAAAGACTTCAGAGGAATCTGGTGTCCACAACCTCCTCTGATGCACTGTCATGGGCTGAAATGTATCATCTCTTCATATGTATGCTTGAAGAAAAGTGGCATAATAAAACGAAAATGGTATGACTAGTATAAAACAAATACCCGAACCCACCAGTGGAATGCTACTTGCTCTGCTATACCCCACATAGGTGTCTGGGCTCTCTGAGTTTCCCCTTCCTCAGACACTGCAGACAAGAGACCCCAGGTAAGGAGAGAGATGCTGTGCTCCAGACATGGAGCAGTAGGGAGCAGTTGATAAAGACAGATACTGGGGACGTCTTCCCTGCCTACATTAGAAACCTTTTCTAGAATTGCTTTGCACTGATCATCTAAAAGCTCTTATTCAGAAGCTGGGGATATAGCTCAGTGGCACAAGCACTTGCCTGGCAAGTGTAAGGTCCTGCGTTCAATGCCCAATACCAAAAAAGAAAAAAAACAAAAACTCTTATTCAGGCATCACTTCATTAAGGAGGGTGGCGATAGTGTTGGCATTTAAAGAGTGTCTTAACCTTTTCTTTTTCCCTCCTGGCCTCTGCCACTCTCCCTGGGTTTTAGTGAAGGCTCGAATTCCCATTTCTGGGCACCAGCACGTCACTCCCGTGGAATCAGCTCAGCTGTTAGTGACATGCAGAACATGTTGGGGGCCTCCTTTGACACCTTGTCGGATTTATGGCCCCAGCCTTGCAGGTATTTTGTTCCAGTCTTGAGTGGTGGGCTAAAGGAAACACACACACACACACACACACACACACACACACACACGTCTAAGCACCTTTCCAAGGAATGTTGCATATGAGGAAAACTATAATTTGGCTTAGTTTTTGTTAGTTTAGCTTGGGACATGCTCTGGCAGATTTAGTAACAGTTCAAAATTCAAGTTTAAAATCTCTGTAATGCACATACATTTTATTTTCTTCTAAAAGGAGAGAATGAAGTGGACACACCTCAACAGTTCCTCTTTGTTATTCTCATTGTAAACTGGCATGTGATGCAGTTCATATAGAGGCAAATGTGCAATGTTTTGCTATTCAAGGATAAGACAGAAATATGCAGTTAAGGTTTGTAACAGGTATCAATGGAATAAGTATTTCTTGTTAATGCTCAGAAAAGTGTAAATTCAATAGAATATTAGCAAGAAAAATAATTTTAATAAAGCCCTGTAAGAAACTGATGGATGTGGCAGAGAAAAAATAGTAAGAGTTTAAAAGATTTAAACAACTTAATTAAAATTCCTGATATAAAAGAACACTTTTAGGATTTTTCAAGGCACCAAGCTAAAATTTGTAATAACAAATGAGTAGTACAACACACTTTAAAATGCAGCTGTGCAGAGTTGAGATATTCTTTTCACAATCCCATGGGACACAAGGATTCACATTTTATCACAAAGTTCTCTTAACAATGCAATTAAATGAGAAGTCAACAATAAAAGATGGGAAAAACTGAATGCATTTGGAAAAACAGATACACTCCTAAATAATCTTTGAGTTAAACTATGAAATCTTTAATGCATACATATCTAGATGTTTGATAACCAGCTCAAATAGCACTTAGGATAAGTTTATACTTTCACATGGATTAATTAAAAGACAAGAAGACATTGTAGTGTTATCAGACTCCGACCTCCTCAAATTTGTGCTATGTCTTCAGATGTCTTAGCAACATGGATAAGAGCATGCTTCTACTCACACAGAGCTTATCTGTAACACTGGCAGTTTCAAAGCTTTTTCCCATTTACTGAGATTATCTGATGGCACTACTATTTGAGTGAAAAAAAATTCTCTTCTTTTTAAAGACATCTTGCTTTTATTAATTCTTAATTAAATAGTAATAGGGTATAAAGATCAGAAATAAAGGTTATATTTTTTCTTGTCAGAAGAGGTCATTTAATACTTTCTAGTCTACTAGTTTGTTCATTGCTTTTTCCTCTTCTAGATAGTCATGGATTTTCACCATTACAATTTCCAAAAGATGCCATTAAAAATAAAGATTATCTGAGGTTCCAGGGATTACAGAGTTTCTTTTTATTATTATTATCTTCAAATTTTCTGGAATAAAAATAAGAAACATGTAACATCTAGAAATAATATTAATTTATACAGATGAAATTATTTCTATGATTTCTCAATATTATTTTCTCTTGTGTCCTTTTTGATAACATTGCACTACTCCTTTGAGACGATAACTTTGCACTGATAAAAGTATTCTTAAGATGTACTATTAGGTAATGTCACTTGCAATAGTGATGTAGTTTTAAAACTATTGAAAATGGGTTTCCATCTGTGGGATTCCTGGGAGATCTATATAGGGAGATTATCATTACAGCCAAAGAATTGTTGGAAGTAATACACAAATATTTTAAAACACAATTTCTTTTTATTATTTAAAACATAAATAAATACAAAAATGACCGGAGGTAGCTTTCAGTGAAAACACATACAATTATCCTTTAATATTATATATGAAAGTCAGTGATTAAATATACAATGAAAAGAACTGAAGAAATTTTGCTGTTGGTGTAAAATACTATGGGTGCTACATTTCATAGGAAGATAATTTTGAATTTCTTGTAAGACAATAGTGAGAAAGCCCACAAAGGGCCAAGGGACTCATGACAGACTTGGGGAAGAACATACATTTCCAGCCACAAGTGCTGAGAGAAAATTGTCATGTGTATCTTTACATAAAGGGGAAACATAAAACTTTAACCGTTTTCAATAAAATTCAAAAATATTGCATATCCTTCTCTAATGAGTGCCACAGATATGGCCTTAGGTACAAATTCAGGTAAAACCATTTTGAGGGGAGGCTCTATCCTACTCCCTCTTCCTCCATCACTTTCAGTGAGACCTGTGACGCTCAGTAACAATAACAAAACAAAGTGCTACACACACACAAAGCCATTGTTCAGCTGAAATGTGGACAGAATTGGGTGTACTATAAATTCTTTTTTTGACAACCCTACTTCTGGTGCTTTTAAGTACTTGGCCTTAAATCCAGTGCACAGATTTTAAAGAAAAATGGCTTTATTTACTTGCTTTTCAATTATAAAAGAAATCCTTCTCTTTGAGTATTTTACTTGAGTTCTCAGAAATTACATTAGTGATGCCAAAATATTTTGTTATTCCTAAAAGTTTATGTTACATTTATTATAGATATAGAATATATTCCAATAAAGAACATCTATTTAAATTGAAGATCTAGGCAAATTTTGAAAAAAATCAAAAAGCTAGAAAGGTTCATTGGTAAGAAGACCTTATAATTTTTGTTTCATTAAATTATTTTAAAATCATAAGCTATATGGTTACAGATGAAATTCTTTGGTAATTTCACAAGACTACAGTATAGAAAATTATCTTTTATTTAAAAGTTCTTGGGGGCTGGGGATTTAGCTCAGCGGCAAAGCGCCTGCCTGGCAAGCGCAAGGTCGTGAGTTCGGTTCCCGGTACCGGAGAAAAACCAAAAAATAAA